AATGGGCCGGCCATATAGCTCGAAGAACCGATAACCGATGGGGAAGAAAGGTTCTCGAGTGGCAGCCTCGTACCGGTAGGCGTAGTGTAGGGTGACCCCGCACTAGATGGAGTGACGACCTGGTAAGACATGCAAGAAGTCAATGGATGCAGGTAGCTCAGGACCGACCGGAATCCAGGACCTGCAGGGTAGAACTGACTGTATTGACCACTAGGTCACACTATTGTCAAGTATTAAAAACTTTTAAGTTATATTTTTTATATTCGTATATAAAAAACATCTTAGATTATACATCATACCTTGTCATCTTTATTCTTAGTAGCTACGGTGACCAATAATCCAGTAGCAGTACTTGTTGCTTGCTGTAAGAGCTCTTCCACCAAAAGCTCCGCCTCAGTACCATATTTACTTTTTATTTGCAAGAGATATCTATGTAACAGCAAAATAAAATTAAGTACTGTTAACAAATTAAAATTTTTGCAATTACTGATGTATCAATTGTAATAAGGTTGTTCTAGTGTATGTTGTGGTGTGCACACATAATAGCGAATCGAATCAATTTTGATATGAATCAAATTCGATCCCGACAGCCTGTCTCAAGGGAGACTGACTGCCATCAGCGCGGGACAGGTTTACAATGCCCCAGTATATGCGTAAACACAGGTCACTCTCTCACAGGACACTACCAGAGAGAGATTAGGCGCAGACCAACAGCTTTACGTGCTTTGCGAGGCACGAGGGTGACACGCTGCCAACTTCCTGACTCCAGGTAGCTTCTGAGAAGTTCTTGGCAGAAAAATCCAATAACTGATTTTGACCCCACTCGGGATTCGAACCCAAGACTCATGATTAGAAATCATGCTTACGACCATCAAACCAATGAGGCATTCGTAATAGAATAAATTTATAATGACTATAAATAATTTAGTTACTAATAACACGTTTAATAGTTGAATGATGGTGTTAGAAAGTTCAATTTCGTCCCATAGATGTCGTAAAAGGCGGCTGTGAGGAATGCTAGAAATTTTTTATGACTTTGGGCAAATAGGGTGTAACCATCTCAATGAGCGCAAATATTCTCCCTTTAGCCAGATGTCGCTAGTTGAAACAGAGGTGAAGTTGTTTGTTAGACAATCTCTTTTTAATTGAGATGTTGTGTTTTTAATTAAAAGTTTATCGGTTTCTAAATTATATAAATACACAAAACATTGTCTCAACGGTTTACTTTTTAGTTATTTGCACATTTTTATAAAACATTTTTTCAGAATTGGCTAAAAAATGGGCTAGATAAAAATAGCGATTAGACAAAATACAGGTTTAAGGATAGTTTTAAATAACACTGACAATTTCAGTCAGAATGTAATATTGAAAAATCTGGCATTAAATTTACAGATAGTGCTCTAGCGCACATAAAAATGTGCACCTAACAGTCCACCTGAGAAGTAAGTGACTTTTTTTTTAATTGTATAAAGGTTACAAACGAGCACACAGTCAACCTGATGGTAAATGCATAGTGTGGCCCATAAACATCTACATCTGTCCTTAGTTAAGGATCAAAATTCAGATGCAATCACCCCTGGGGACTAAGATGAAATGGCTCATTTCCAGTAAAAAGGGTTTCCCATTCTCTACACTCACCATATGAAATACAGCAGATTTAAGGTGCTATTTTACACTGGAATTTTGTAAGAGTGTAGTCTTTCCCGGTCAAGTCAAGACATAGGTGCTACAACCATAATATATCTGCAGCATGGCTCTACCACATTGATACTAATTAATGACTTTGTTATTAAATTATGATTACCTTGGGTATCTGATAAGAAGCAAAACATTATCAGGAAGCAGTTTATAATCAGCAACAACTTCATGCACCGATGGTTCAAATGATGCCAAATCAAACTTGAGAAGTGTGCGAAGACTTTCAATTACCTAGAATAAACAGAACAGTATAATAAAATAATAGATTAAACATTAGCCATAGTGTTATTGTTGTTGATATTTAAAGTGAATTTATTTCATTGATTTTTTTTTGTACAATGCTAGTCATCTGCCAATCGGACAACTAAATTATTTTATTTGTCCACTTATGGACAACACAGTTTGTAGTGGGGGTCAAAATAGTATCTATATAGGGAATATTAGGTATCTATATACTATATGTATATGGCATAGATGAGACACTCTGGCATATTATTATGCTGCATCCGCATGCTTGGCAAAATTCATCAAGCCTTTACAAATTCATATGTGTAGATATAGTGTTTGGTTTGGCTAAGTGTTATGAGTTATACACAACAACCTCGATATCCATTATGCTTGCCTCTTGAATATAAACTAATGCACTCACAAGCATGTGGATGGCAATGTTTGATTCCCAAACTCAAGCCAAACATTTGTAGATTGGAGTATGCAGCCAGTGTCAAGCATGTGGATGCAGAATTTAAGCTTTGGTATAAATAAAAAATGGCGGTAGTAGCTCCATCTTTTGAAAATGTGTCAAAATACTATGAAAATAGTGCTTTCAATGACTATGAGACAGCACTAGTATCAACGTAAAATCAATTTTTTCAATATTATATTTATGGTTAACAACTATATCAATAAAATACACATGGCTATAGCCGCACCTCAACCTACTGTTAATGATATAGCATGATTGAATTTATCACATTAGTGGACGTATAAAATATATTAGTTGTCTGATAAGCCGATGACTACACACTCCGTTACTTTTGACAATAAAAGAACAGACTTATTAAGAACAATATCTTTTATTGCATTATCATCTATTTTTAAAAACAAGACCTTTAAATTTGTTATTTTGTGACCTTTAAAAATTTGACCTAAAAAAATTTGTGATCTTTAAAGTTGTTTAAATTAGTTAAAAAATGTGCCTTTAAATTTTTCAGAAAATTCGTAAACCTTGAAAATTAGTTTATAAATACTGTTTAATCACATTAACCTAAGGTGTATCAATTAATGTTGTAAGAACGCTAAAAAACTCAAACTAATTAACACAATAGTAAGACAACAGCAATGACAATAGTAATCATGACTTACATCTTGTAGAAATATAATAATACCTCTGCATATTGCATGCCTTGTTCTCACTGACTGGACTTTTGTTCCTAAATAGAGATTATATTTGGCCAACTTCAAAAAAGAGGTTTTGATAGTTGGGTTAGTAATTAGGGAATCCCGATTGCCGCACTTTCCCTAACCCTTTGGAAATACATAGGGTATTTTTTATAAATTTTTGAAAATTTCAGAATTGAGTAGCAATTTGAAGCATTCATTTTTAACATAACATCACTTATTTTTTGAAAATAATCCTAGTAAAAGTAATTTTAACTACAAGTCTTGGTTATAATTAATTTTAACCAATATTTTTCAGTCACAATCTCATCTTCCCAATTACTTTTACCCCAATACAAGTTGAAAAACAAAATGCAACAAGTCAAATGTGTATGCTACAGTCAAACAACGCGAAATAGTACGCTGATGTCAAATGAGCAAGATTTTTAAAGAACATCGTTATTTATTTTCTAAATTTTCCCGAAAACCACGAGTTTTCGAGCTCAAAAATTTTGTACATATGTAAAAAAAGTATATCTTTCGGACAGTAGTCAGTTGAAAGTGCTAACTTTGGGTAATTATTCTAAAGGAGGACCAAGTTTTTGAGTTTTCAAGAGGTTTTTAAACACATCTTAACAATTTTTAAAGTAAAGAGTTTTGAAGAACTACTGTGAGAACTTGTGAGAACAAAATTATATTATATTAAGAAACTGATAAAACCTGCTTTCGCGGAAGTCCTGTAGTCTTCACGATCATAGAAATTGGCTTACTACCATAAATAAACAAATCATTTCCCACTTGTTGTACAAGTTCACCAAAATACCGATGAAGAATCTCTGAAACAACTCGTCCTAATTGATGCGACATTTTAATAAGATAATCTTTAAGCCATACAAAATAGTAAGTGTTATCTTCTTAAAATTTATAATATCTTATTCAATATTTTAATCTTATTCAAAAATAACCACTAAATAGTCACGTTCTCATGTTGTTTACAAAAAAGTAGTTTTACACACGATGATCATCGATGTTGGATAGTCATCGAAGTTAAAAATTAAAACATCGATATTTTAACATCGATGTTGCCACATGTCAAACATCGAAACATCGATGTTAGTGAACCAATAATCGAATAATAGGAACTTGTGAATAATGCGAATTCAGTATCAACTAAATCGTGCATCTTATATTGAAGATTAAAAATTTTGAATAATTCAGAACTCCTAAACGCATCGATCGCTTACAAAATATCATTATGGTGTGTCAAATTTAACTGTCAAGTGAGAACTGTAATGTCACAGTTGTCACTGCTTTCGCTTTGTTATTCTGTGGTGTCATTACTCTTTGTCGGTTGTCGCTTAATAACTATTCTACGTAAATTGATATTGCTGATATTGTTATTTAATTTCACTGCATAGTGCATTCGACTGTGTGAGTGCATACTTACAGCTTGGGCTGCCTAATTAAAAATATGAACAAAGGTGACGGGAAAAATTTATTATTTTCTTTTGGTGTAGTTTGTTAATTTTTTTCTCTATAATTATATTTTTTATTTTGCGATAGGAGTATTAGATACAAAAACTACGACTAAATCGGAAATTAGGTCTTATTAGGTTTGTGGGTATTAAAATTACTAGGAACCATTAAAAGATCAAAATAATAACATTCATCTTCATCGGCAAAAATATTGTACTATAGAATTTAGTAGATGGCGCTATTACTGAAATGCGCTCACTCTTATATTACTATATACTTTATGGTATCTAATATAATTACAATTACAAGATTACAACGATCTTTCGTTCAAATACTACTTCTTCTTCTTTCTTTTGTGGCGGTTTGATAAAATTCGCCAATGACGTATTGAGTAGAAAATGAAAGCTTATGAGTTTAATTAAAATAAGAGTCTGTGATAATACAAGGATTCAGTTTTCCTCCGAGAATTTTGACAAATCTATTTGTTGAATTACCTAGAACAAATATGACAAACACAGGTGTTAGACTCTTACCCGTATGTTAAAAGTGACAAGGATTTAAAGTTTCATATTATTAGTATTAATAAAATCACATAAAATATACACAAAAGGAGTACTGGTATATGTTAAAAGAGAATTAAAATCTATAGGTCGAGGAATATAAGGAGGAAGGTAATCATAAAGGGAGGAGGATAATTTGGGACAGTTGAAAAAAATATGGTTTGTGGAACCTTCATCTAAGCCACATTCACACAATGAGCTATCCCTTACTCTGATTTTTGCCAGATGTGCATGTGTACAGGCGTGTCCAATTCTTAATCTACAAATGATTGAAGTTGCATGTTTATTTGCTTTGTTAAATTTAAAGAACCAAGGCTTGGGAGGAATAACCTCTTGGATGGCAGCATAGTGCTTACCTTTAACTTTTTTGGAAACTTCCCATAATTTATTCCAATTTTCATTCAGTTTCCTTTTAGCTAGCAAAATTAGGTCATGTGAGTAAATTAAATTTTGTAGAATGCCATTAGCAATTGCATTTTTAGCGAGTACATCAGCTGTTTCGTTACCATGGATACCACTGTGGCCTGGAATCCAGGCCACTGAAACATGGATTCCTTTAAGATGGCATCTGAATAGGGTATTTTTTATTTTAAGAATTAGTGGAAACTTATGTTTGTTATGGAATTGATTGGACAAAATAGCTAACAAACAACTTTTTGAATCTGTGAAAATAACTGTTTTATTAAGATTATGTGATTCTACATATAACAAAGCTTCACTGATTGCAGTTGCTTCACCAGTAAAAGTGGAGGATAGTGAGGGGCATTTAAAGTTAAAAATGATTTTGAACTTAGGAATCCAAACAGCAGCTCCAGTATAGTCTTCATCAGAATGTTTTGAAGCGTCTGTGTACATGACAAGCCAATCTTTAAAGGTGTTTTCTATAATTTCTTTTAATTTCAAATTTGCCATTGGAGAATCCTTTTCTATACCTAGATCTAGATGAATGTCGGGTTGGTAAACAATAGCCTCGTAAGGAACATCAAAAAGTGAATTTATTTTGCATTGAAAGATTGGGTAAGGAAGCTGAAGAAAAATTACAAAACTTTTAAACAAGCAGGGAGAGTCCTTATGGGTCCAGTATCGGTCAGATGAGATATACTCTGAAAGAAGGTGCAATTTAGGAATTAGGGGATGATCTGAAAGTTGGCAGATCTTAAATAAGAATCTGTCTGAAAGGTATTGCCTTCTTAATCTTAAAGGAGGATCTACGCACTCAACCTGAAGAACATTTATTGGTGAGGATTTCATCGCCCCTGTAATAATGCGAAGGCATTTCGATTGAATTTTGTCCATTACTTTAAGGGATGATTTATTGCAAGGCTCCAACAGAAAACATCCATAGTCAAGGTGGCTTCGTATTAAAGCATTGTACAGTAATTTCTGAGAAAAAGGATGGGACCCCCACCAAACACCTGACAAAGACCGAAGAATATTTATGTTTTTTTTCGCATTTTTGTGTTATATATTCAATGTATGGACCGAAGGCCAATTTCGAATCAAGGATAACTCCCAAAAATTTAACATTGCCTCTAACTGGAATAGGTTGCTTATCATATACAACAGATATATCGGGAACTCGCCTTTGGCGGAAAAGATCACCACACTACTCTTGGCCACAGATAAAGAGAGGCCATGATTAGTTAACCATTCTTGTAAATAATCCATGGATGAGTTTAGACGGGAACATGCCACTGTGAAGTTGTTTGAGGAGATGTATAGAGCTAAATCGTCTGCATATTGAAGAACATTACAAAAAGAATTTACTGAAAGTTCTAAATCGTGAGTATATATAGAATAAAGGAGAGGACTAAGAACTGAGCCTTGTGGAAGTCCTTTCCATATAGTTTTTGGGGGAAGCAGGAGATTTTTAACATTTATAGATATTGATCTAGAAGAGAGAAAGTTAGAGACGTAATTGACTATCCTCACTGGAATGCTCAGATTAAGCATTTTCTGCCTGAGCACAGGAAGAAGCACATTATCATATGCAGAAGAAATATCCAAGAAAACTCCTATGAGAAATTCATGTTTTGAGAAGGCAATATGAATATCTGTGATCAAGGTACTTAGGCTATCCATGGTACTTAAACCTTTTCGGAAACCGAATTGGCTTTTAGGTAAGAGATTATTCCTTTCCAAAAACCACTCCAAGCGATTTTTTATTAAATGTTCCAAGATTTTTGCCAAAGTACAAGATAGGGCAATAGGTCGGTAACTGGAAGGGTCATTGCTAGACTTACCTGGTTTGAGAATGGGCAAAATAATTTGGGTTTTCCATTCAGCAGGAGGATCACCAGTAATATAAATAAAATTTAAAATGGATAGTAAGACAGTTTTAGTGTTCTCACTACTATTAATTATAAACGAATAAGGAATCCCATCAATACCTGGTGAGGAGTCTTTAAGGCCATTGAGTACAGTAAACAATTCCTGAGAAGAAAAGGGGGAATCAAATTTATCATTTGTTTTTAAAAAAGCAGAATTAAAAACTAGGCATTCATCATAAGATGGGACTGTTTGTGGTGCAAGTTTATTAGAGAATTCATCTATCCACGGGGGAAGGATCATTAGAAATTATATTTTCACTAGAAACTGCACAGCGATATTTTTTAACATTTCTCCAGACCAAAGATGGGGGAGTCCTAGGTGACAGTGACTCACAGAATTTAAACCAACCAGTTCGCTTTTTGTCTGACAGTAATTTTAAGGTTTCTGCAGCAATTTTTTTTATAAGAGATATAATTCTCTGCAGTCATAGAACGGGAGTATATTAATTCAGCCTCTTTTCTTCTCCTACAAGCTGCTGAACAATCTTGGTCCCACCAAGGAGGGGAGGGATAATTATTTTTGAAAGGTTTTTTTAAGGGGATTGACCTATTAGCAGCAGAAATAATTGCATTTCTGAACTCTATATATACAGTAGCAATATTATCATTGTTAATTGGGGGAAGAGTTGAAACCTCTTGTTCCAAGACTTTAGAATATAATTGCCAATTAGCTTTGGATAGATTATACTTTAGTCTTGGGCAAAATGTAAAATTTATTCTAGGTGAAGTAGGAGGAGTGATGAATATAGGAAAATGGTCACTGCCATAGCTAGAAGGTAATATTTGCCACAAAAGAAGGGAAGCAATATCTGGAGAGCAGAGAGTTTGGTCAACGGCACTTCTAACATTTTGTAATGGGGATACTCGACGGGTAGGAGACCCATCATTTAGAATACAGAGATTAAAATTATCAATAAGATCTAAAAATAAGGGAGCCAGTGAATCACACAGATGGGAGCCCCAAACAGTATGATGCATGTTAAAATCTCCCAAAATAACCATAGGAGGTGACAGAGAAGAGATAAGTGTTGCAAGTTCTGTTAAAACATTTACATCAGGATTAGGAATGTAAACAGAGAGAATAGAAACATCAAGGGCCTTAATAGCAACAGCATTTACTGCTGGACTATGAGAAGGGAGAGGAATTTGTGAAAATGTAACAGTTCTTGAAATTAAAATAGAGGTGCCAGCACGACCATCACTCCTATCATCCCGGAGGCATGCATAGCCTGAAACCCTAAAATGAGATTCAGGCCTAAGCCATGTCTCCTGGATGGCAAGAATGAAGGGATGAAATTTGTTAATGAGGTAAATGAGTTCATTTTTTTTTATTTCTAATACTCCGACAATTCCATTGAAGAATTGGCGGGACTGCGAATGTTACGGGCTAAGGAGGAAAGCTGAGTAAGTTTTTGGTGTAAGCTGAGAGGAAGTTCCGTGTCACTAAAACGGGAGATCATGTTAATTAGAATTGATATCATAAGTTCGCAGAAATTATCATTACTAGAGGAGTTGTTGTCATTTCCCAGTAGAGCACACCCATTAGGAAGGGAAGAATTCTCAACAATTGCTTGATGGGCTGCCATATCATATCCAGAATTTAATGGTGGGCTGCGGGTACGTTGAGGGATAAAAATTGTTTTTTTATATGATGCAGTTTGTGAGAGCTGAGCCGAAGGGGTTGAAAGACTGTCAGTTATAGTATAAGGGGTCTGTTGAGAACAATTACGAGGCTGGATTCTTGTTGTATCAGCAAAGGATCTTTTTGTCTGAGGGAATCTAGCTGAAGCTTCTAAATATGAAATATTTTCTTGTGACATAACAAGTTTAATAGATTTTTGCCTTAGATGTTCAGGACATGTAGGGTCTTTTGCGGTGTGGGGACCAGAGCAGAATAGGCAAGTAGGAGTTTGTCGAGTACAAGATAAACCTTCATGATTCTGTGCACATACAAAGCAGCGAGGAGATGATCGGCACTGGGAAGTAACATGGCCATATCTACAGCATTTATGACACTGAATTAGTGGCAAAACATATTTTTCCACTGGCATTGAGGTGTAAAAACAGTAAATATGGGAAGTTTTTGTCCAGAAAAAGTTAGAACAACCGTCTGAGTTGGAACCCATGAAACGCTATTGCTGTCACTCACTGATCGTCTATTAAGTCGCCGTGCTTTAATTATAGAACCGTATCCAGAGGGAATTTCTATAGCTGCTATTAATTCTTCTAGTGTCCACTCTATGGGAACTTGTCTAACTAGCCCCATACGAGTGATACTATATGAGGGGATGGTTGCTTCATATTTAGAAATTTGGAGAGCTGGGTGATCGATAAAGGTGTTTGCATCTGCAGCTGATTTAAACTCCACGGATATTCTATTTCGTCCAACTTTTTTGACTCCATCATGGACTATATTTTTAATATTGTTATGATACAGAAAGTGGCCGAATTTAATTGGTTTAAGAGTTACTCCAGACAGCTGATCATTTGAGATTTTACTTACGTGAACTAGAAAAGGAGCGGCATCATCTTGAGAGTACTTAACTTTTTTATTAATAAAATCAGGATGGGTATATGAGGATTGTATTGAAGGAAACTGTTGATTTGGATCAGTAATAACTATTTTTTGTGGATGGGCAGACTCGTTACTTACTTGGGCACGTTTACGTTTAATTAATTCTACATTATCAATGTTATTGGGTAAGGAAAAGGAATCATTGCGAAAACTTCCGGGATCGGGAGGTTCGTCCTCCATTATATTACTACAACAAAAAATTACATAAAAACGGCACAACTACAAACACTTACTAATTTACAGATATTAAAACCTCCACCAAGACAGAAAAATTTACTATGGTAAATCAACAACACTTAATAAAACAATAAATTTTAAGCAAAAAAGGCACGACACTTGTATCTCTCACTTCCTCCGAAAAAACTCCCCAAATCGTTCAAATACTAATCTTATAATATTATTTTTATTTAAGACACTTACCAAGGTACAAGTATTTCTTTTAGAAAGAGTGAGCGCATTTCAGTAATAGCGCCATCTACTAAATTCTATAGGTAAAGTTATTTTATCGAACAAAAATGGTATTGACTCTCAAGGTGGTGGTGCTAGATTCTAGGTGGTATAAGCCCAATAAAATAATATTCTCTTATTATATTTTAAAAACATAACCTCCACACTAGGATTTTCTCCTTTATAGTGGCCCTTATAGTTTACAAACATAAATCGTACAAGGACAAACATCCAGTCCCGGAACAATTATTTGTAGGCCACACAAATATTTGTACCGTGCGGGATTCGAACCAGCGGTTTTAGCGTTGTAATTCAATTGCTAAGTCGCTGCACCACGGAGCCGTCAAATTTTATAATTTAGTTTATGTAAAATGACAATTTGTAAATTTTCATTTAATAAATTTTTGTTGACATAGTATAAAGCCGTGTTTTAATTAAAATAAAATTACATAAATAATAAATAATTACCTAATTAACAAAATAAACCGATAATATCACTTCTTAAGATCGAAGAAGATGATGTACTGTGACACAGATGTATATAAAAAAAATATTAATTACTCTGCACTAATTACCTTCCGCTAATTAAATACAATGACGTGTCTTACCTGGATTGAAGAGCACCTCCCGCCCTCCCTCAATTGTATGCACTAACACCGTCACCACTAATCCCAGCACCACTACTCCCAACACCACTACTGCCGGCACCACTACTTCCAACACCACTATTCCAGGTAAGATACACCATCGACGATAATACGACAAGTGTTTCGGTTCTACACGAGGCATCCTCAGGTGATGTAGACTCTAGAGCGGAGCCCGTGTAGCTACTAAAATGCCACAAGACGTCAATTTACACATATTAATGTCAACACGAGATGTGTTTTGACGTTACAATCGTTTCCAAATTTCGCATGCAAATTATTTAGAAAATGCCAAATTGCACGCTATTGTTGTCGCTAATATTTTGTCGTTTGAATAATGGTTTCAAGTAGATTTTGATTCGTTTTGATTCGTAAAAGTGATGCGTTTTTGTGATTTAAGTGTCCGCGCGTATGAACTATTAGAGAAAATGACGAAGATGTAATTAAAAACCTCAAGTTATTTTGATCGCTTGGGCGCCTTATGAACTTGAGTGGCTGTCGTCATCACTGTCCAATGGATTGAGCTGTCGTCGAAATCTCCCAAAAACTTCGCAATGTGACGCATCAGCATATTGTGAAGAAAAAGATATAAAAATGAAGATTCCGAAAGAAATGATAGGCTCAGAAGGTCTAGAACCCAGAGCCGTAAAGCCAGTTAAATAAAAAAGCTATGTAACGTAATGCCAAAGATAGCGGAATGGCATGGAGTCTGGAGTATAGAGGTAAGGAGAACAATCTCTTATAGGAGAATAATTGAAAAAGTGTCCATCTGTAAGCAATAAATAAAAGTTCAAAAACTCTCCACAACAGCGCTGGAGTAGCTACAGGAAACAGCTACATGAAATGAACTTAGCAGTTGTCGACGGTGTGAAGGGTACTGCTAAACTGCTCAGTGGCTCTAAAATATAAAATAATTTTATTTTGTGAATATAGCCTTTAAAAGTCGACTATCCTACTTATATTTATCTGCGCGTTCTTTAAAATTTACCCTGAAGCTATAGTGACGCGACCCTTATTTAACGCTTTTTAATACACAGTCTGTACTCCTTACCTCTACACTCCACTCCACTCCAACGTCCATGGTGTAATGCATAGACCAAGTATTAAGGTTTTGGCGGGAACTTGGCCGACGACGGACTGTCACTCCTGTTTAGTCGCTTGAATAATGGTTTGAAGTGGATTTTAATTCATAAAAGTGATGTGATTTTGTGAATTAAGTGTCTGCGTTTGTGAACTATTAAAGAAAACGACGAAACAACTGCTTTGATGTTGATATAAACCTCAAGTTAATTTGATCGCTTGGGCGCCTTATGAACTTGAGTGGCTGTCGCTGTCATCATCAACAGTCCGCTAGGTTGAGTTGTCGTCAAAATCTCCCAAAAACTTCGCAATGTGACGCATCAGCATATTGTGAAGAAAAAATTTAAAAATGCCTATACTGAAAGAAATGATAGACTCAAAATATGAACCAAGTAATAATATATTCCACTTAGACAGAGAAACCTATTCTCTGTCTACGATAATCCTGATTATACTAGCTTATCTATGAATATATTAATATATAGGGCAATGCTTTGACTAGAGAAAAAAGAATTTCTCTAGTCAAAGGGGCAATGTAATGCACAGACCAGATAGAGAAACTAACGTTGGATTATCAACTGAACGTCAATAATGGTTATACGCGTTTTTGTGTCATTTTAATTATTTTAAGTTTTCTTGCATTATTCTGATTACATTCCTAATAAATTTTAGTATATATTAATAATATTTATCAGCATTTTCATATTGTATCTCATTTAGCGACAATTTCTTACTATCACATAACAGTTTAACGTAGCCTCTCGTAGTCGCCATGCCTAATGCAATTCACCTAAGCCACCGGATCCGAATTGTTCTGACACTAACATTATTTCCTCACCAGCTGCTTATGTTGAATTCAAAATGATTTAGAAGTTTCATTTCAAAAACCATGGCAGTTATTATCGCAAGAAATTTTCGATGACAACTGCAAAATTAGTTCAAATAAAAAGAAAAGAAAACATAAAACGAAAGAAAGAAGAGCATGCTAATCGTGTTGACATAAATAGAAGAATTTTATCTTTTTCCACCAATTCCTCATTCTCAGAATCGGACTGCGATACTGGTAATACTTCATCATCTAAAATTAAAATTATAGGCTCTAACTCTATCAAATTCAACATATCAGGACAACGTGCTTATGAATATCCCATGTCTTTATCAACCAATATTGCTTGCACACAAACATCTGAAATCCCACTTTCACAATCATCTGGCATTCCTCTATCAAAAATATTAAATTCTGCCAATAGTTATATCTCTTCTAAATCTCTTAACACGCATATAGATACCGATAATAAAAAAATAGATTTACAAAGATTTCAATCTCTTCGTCCTTATAATTCTACAGATTCAGGTCCTTTTATCGTTCATGTTCAAGTAAAAGAAGATGCTCCAATTCTGGTAAAACTTTAAATGCTTCATTTGGAAATTTTTGAAAAAATTAAATGTTCAAAATATAGTTAATGGAGGCCTAAAACGTATCGGGAAAAATAGAATAACGATGGAGTTCTCTAAATTTATTGATTTAAATCTATTTTTAGAAAATCCATCTGTATATGATAAATATAAAACCTTTATTCCATCCTTTCACGTATCTCGTATGGGAGTTATAAAAGGTGTACCAAAATATTGGACACAAGAAGAGATTATTTTTGAATTATCTACGTATCCAAACACCATTCCTGTGTTAAAAGTAAGAAGATTAAAATACCGAGTTCGCAATAAAGACAAAGTCAGATATTAAAGTTCTGAAAGTGTCGTAATCACTTTTTTTTTGTTTATTTATGCTATTCTTCCATACCTGTTGAAATTTATAAGCTTCCAACGATTTAATGTTCTCAGTGCTGTAGATTTGGACATGCTAAAGATTTATGTCGTTCCAAGCCAAGATGCTCAAAATGTGGAGGTGATCACTCCTCCTCTTCTTGCGACAAAAATCTTTTCATTGCTTATTTTGCTCAGGTAACCACAAAGCCACGGATTCTAGATGTCCGGAACACACAAGACAAAATAATGAGCACTCCTCCTCTTCTTACGACAAAGATTTTTTCGTTGCTTATTTTGCTCAGGTAACCACAAAGCCACGGATTCTAGATGTCCGGAACACACAAGACAAAATAATATTAAAATTGAAATGTCACAAAATTCAATCTCATACCTAGAAGTATCTCAAAAATACTCGTATCCCCAAGTTTCTTCAAAATCATATACTGATGTTTTTATTTCAAAAATCCTTGAAAATTCTTCGCTTTCCACTAATCCTACAATGGATAATTTTTTTTCACAACCCGCTACATCTAATAAAACTTCTTATAAGAAATCATTATATATTCCTAAACTATTCCGTCACCATTCACAAACAGGATATGACAAAAAAGTCATCAAAAAATTATTGAAGATTTTTCAATTCCGCAATCTGAGGATGGTTGTGCTCTTCGGGTTTTACCAAATACTTCACAGGTTGATTTTGATTCTGTAGAAAGCATTAAAAATTTCCTTATTAACATAATCATATCTTCGTATTCGCCGAAGTTACCGTCCCACGTTGCTCGCTTACTAAATTCTGTACTAAAAATTCTTCATGACATTCACTCTCACAAGGATCCTTCAATGGAATTGTAGAAGCATTTTAGATAAACGTACTGAAATAATTTATTTATTAAAAATACAATGTGTGTATCGCTGCTATTTCAGAGATATGGCTGAAACCGGATTCGAACATCAGAGTCCCTGGTTTTTGTTTTGTTCGAAGTGATAGATCTGATCGTTGTGCTGGATGTGCTTTGCTTATAAAAATAATATAACTTATTCCATTATAGATATTTATGATAAAATATTAGACTTTAATATTGTAGCAGTAAGAATTTAAAATATTACTTTCGTTTCTATTTGTGTTCCCCCCCTTCTGTCCATACGTTTCGCAGAATAAAATCTTTAATAGCCTCCTTACCCAAATAATTTATTATTCTTGGTGACTTTAATTGTCATCATTATTTATGGGGTGATGATACTGATAGATACGGCACTTTATTATACTCTTCCTAGTTTTTTTTTTTTTCATCCTTCACTTTTTATCAGACGACAATATTTATCGGATTCCTTTTTTTTATCGGGTTCTTCAATTTTCCAACCATCCACTAATCCTTAACATTCGTTTACTTTCTCAGTACATTTCAATTAATTCAGGAAAATACTATAAAACACCTAACCTAGTTAAAAGCTATTAACAATATAATTCCTTACTAAATCTTATTTATAGGTCGGTGACTCTGCCTCTTTTCTCCAATTCGTTTGACGTTCACTTTTCAAACCCAATGTTATATAAGATATAGGATTAAATAAATTTTCTATTTAATCAAATAAAAAAATTGTTTTGACGTTGGACAAGAATTTCCCAGATTGTCATTATATTTTTACAGATGCTTCTAAGATTAACTCAAAAGGTGGTACTGGCTACGCAATATATATACCATTAAAATTGGTGAATAGTTCAAAAAATGAAAAGTCCTCCCGAATCTTCAGTTTTTACTGGAGAAATATTAGCCATTTTACAATCAATAACATATTGTTATCTTTTTAAATTAAAATCAAGCGTGATATTTTCAGATTCTCTTAGTCTTTACAGGCATTGTTATGCAATCCTTTCTATTCCCGCAATCCTTTGATATTTGAAATTAAGAAGCTTCTATTCTTATACCGTTTCCATAACATCAACATTTCTCTTGTTTAGATTCCGAGTCATATTGGTATGTCTGGTAATGAATATGCTGACAAACTTGCTAAACAAGCTATAGTCGGTGGGGATACTTTCTTATTTAAAAATACTATGACCTTATAATTATAAGGACTACGAAATTATTATATAGAGATAGATGGCCAAACCATTGGAACAAAACCAAAATGACAAAAGGCTGGCACTATGCCAAAATTCAACCCATCATTCCTTCTAAGCCTTGGTTTTATAAATTATTCTTAGATAAGAAACATACATCAATGCTATGTAGAATATGCTTGGGTCACTGCTGTAATTCCGTTCACTTGCTAGGCTTCATATTAAAAAAAATTCCATATGTGAATGTGGTTTAGATATTAGTGATCTCAACCATATTTTCTTTTCGTGTCCTTTATATGATCATACTTCGTTATTTAGCACTGTGGTAAATCTTGAAATTCCTCTACCTACAGAAATTCGTTCTCTTTTAATTTTTTCTAAAAGAAGTAAAAATGTTTTCAATTGTCTTATGGGATTTTTAGATTTAAATAATATTAAGTTATAAAATTTTATTCATTATTTTTTTAGTATTCATACCAATCTTCTTCGTCTTTATTTAGTATTATTTATTATTTTAAATGTGGTATTGAGCTTAGTATTATTTTAATTCAATATAACATCCATAATTTATTTGATAAACTTCAGTAAAAGTCACTTCATGATTCATTAGTTCTTAACATTATAATTTCGGTTTTTAATCAGAATCATAGTTTTTCTTTAGATTGTCCGTTGTTTCATTACAAGTTACAAGTACTTTTATTGACTGGAGGTTGGCAGTAATTATTAGGTCGAATAATTATTGTAAAAAGAAATAAGGTGAAAGTCTGTGCAATAAAAAATTATAAAAAGTTCTTTAAAATTTAGACTATAGCTACAGTGGCGCCACCCTTATTTAATGCTTTTCTACGGACACTTTTTATAGAGTCTGTACTCCTTACCTTTTTCTGTCAAGAAATTCTCAGTATCTGCCCGGAGTCAGGAAGTTGGCGGTGTCTCACCCCCGTGCCTCAGAGAGCACGTAAAGCCGTTGGTCCTGCGCCTGATCTCTCTCCGGTTGTGTCGGTTAACCGTCCCATCGGATTATGAGAGTGCACCTGTGCTTACGCATACCCTTGGACACTTTAATCCTGACATGTGCCGATGGCTAGCCTCCGTTGAGGCAGGCCGCCGTGGCCGAAAATTCACCGAAAATCACTCCATAGTTTATGTAATGCTAATGCTGTCAGGGGAGTTTTAGCGGGAACTTGCCAGTAGACGGATTTTCATTCCTGTTTTGTCGCTTGAATAATGGTTTGAAGTGGATATTGATTCGTAAAAGTGATGTGATTTTGTGAATTAAGTGTCCGCTCGTGTGAGCTATTAACACGTTGATGGACAGTACTCGCTTACCGATTGCGCTTGAAAATACACTACTTTTTTCCATATATTGGCCATAGGCGTTGTGTCACAACACTGCGTCAATAATTACCTATTGTGACACAACGGATATAGACGTAAACGTCTCACGACGTACTGGCACATGAAATGTGCATTTAAAGTGCGTGATTTGCCAGAACGCCTGTCGACGATGGCGTCGAGACACGTCTTCCACCTTTCTTCAGTTTTTTTTACTATGTCTTTAGGATTATCTTTGCGATTTGTACGTAAAGTGCCAGTTGTATGAATTCTCAATTCAAGTAATTTTTGTGACAAGCTCACAGAATTGTCGTAGTTGTCCATAAATAGATGATGTCCATGTAATGGGTATGAACGCATCAACTTTAAAACAAGTTTTTCGGTTTTTGATCCAGTTTCAGGAGTTGAAGCTTGCTTTCCACTATACATTTTCATGTTCAGAACATAGCCTTCAGGTGTTGCTAGTTGGAAAAATTTGATGCCATAGCAAGCCTTTTTGATTTGACTGGCGAAAGTGCAAACGACCTCGAAATAAAAGAAGAGACTCGTCTAACGACAGTTCTTAGCCAGGGTTATAGATTTTTTTTTGAAGTTTAGTGTTATGATATCAATTGGTTGTCCGATCTTATCATCCCCTTTGGCATCCAAGTTTGCTGCATAATAACACAAAATTTGTTCATATCTTCTTTCTGACATCGTGTAGCTCAATACGTGATCATAATGTAGTGGATCTGATGGCGAGAAGAGAATTCTTTGCTTGGGGCATTTTACATGACCTTTCAAAAGAGTGAGACCCAAACACTTCATAGTTTCTTCGCAATTAGTCTCACGATGTACTGTTTTACGACTATGTCTAGTATGAGGTCTGTTAGTGTTACAGAGGCGGTTCCCATAACCGTTTGTACAGATTTCAATAAATTCTAAGAAATTTTGTGGAAAAACGAGATGAAAAAAATCGACAACATTATTTTATCTTTAATATTCACAGTCAAATCACATTCAGACGTGGCAAAATCGAATTCAGGTATTTCAGTAACTGATGTAGACCATGACTCCTCTGTAATAAGTGAAATAGATCAATTAATAATATGCTCAAAGTTTGGCTGATTAGAGATGCTCTGGGACTCGGTTGCAAACATTTCATTATTTGAAGGCCCAGCAGTTATTTGTTCATCATCCATATTTTCTTGACGTTCTACTGAATAACATGAAGTTCTGTCGTCGTTTTCGACATGATTCTGAACATCATCAGTATTTTGATGACATTCTAAGGACGAACATGTAGTTCTATCATCATCATCACCCGAAGAATCAGAAGACTCACCCCGGATTATAGCCGCTGTTTCTTGCAAGTGACTTGTTTGCTAACTTCCAACTGGGTCTTTAGAAATCGAAGATTCACTTTCAGAAGGTCGGTAATCCTTATCTGATCCATATTCTACATCATCCACAAACATTTCTTCAGAGGAATCAGGAGTGGACGCGCCATCAAATAATTTCTCTAACCGTCTTTGATTTTCCTCAAAGGGATCCGTCTGAAAAGTAAATCGTACCGTTTACAAACAAAATAAGACTCAAACATATGTTTTTCTTCTAAAAGTCTAACTTAGAAGACTCAAAAAATTGTATTATTTATTGTAAGTACTAATAAAACAAAACAAAACGTATAAAATTACACGTGGCTTACCCTTGTGAAATATTTGGTTGCAAAAACAGCGCGTAAGCACGTGGGGCACCACTTACGCGCACTACTTCACTGAATATATGTAAATATGACGTCAAGGGGCGTACTGTGCTTTCGCGGGGTAGTACAAAATCGTCGTTGTGTGAGTAACCGGACTTTTTTCAAATGTGTGTAAAACTTGACGATGTGACAGTACAAATACAAAAATTGTATGTACAGTGACAGTACATGTAAGGGCTAAAACTCGAACGTCGACAGACGTTCTGTCATATCGCAAACTTTACCGCAACGTCTATAGGCGTTACTGTCCGTCAACGTGTTGAACAAAACGACAAGACAAGTGCTTTGATGTCGTTATAAACCTCAAGTTATTTGAATCGCTTGGGCGCCCTATGAGCTTCAGTGGCTGTTGTTATTAACCGTCCGCTGAGTTGAGCTGTCATCAAATTCTCCCAAGGGCTTCGCAATTTGATGCATCAGCATATTGTGAAGATAAAATATAAAAATGAAGATTCCAAAAGAAATGATAGGCTCAGAAAGACTAGAACCCAGAGCCGTAAAACCAGTTAATAAAAAAAATGCTGTCAGGCTGTCAAACTAATTGAATAAAATGTATTATTGTTCATAGAATTAAAAAAAAGATTAAAATGAACATTGAAAGTGCTGCTATAAACATTCTCAAGCGAGGAGTAGATTTGGACTCAAAAAAGCGTTATACGGAAGCACTTGTATGTTACCAGGAAGGATTACAAATATTGGTAGATAAAATGAAAGGTATGTAAACAATACGTTGTGTTACTTATGTTTACATTGTTGTTCTTCATTGATTTGATGATTGTTGTAAAAAACAGGAGAATGTGATGATAAAATAAAGATATACCTAAGAAAGAAGGTAGAAGAGTATATGAATAGAGCGGAAACTATTAAAAAGTTGGTGTTACATCAAAAGGAAACTGGTCAGTTCCATGAACAAGTGCTTATAGAAAATAATTCCACTGGGCACAGCTACAAAACACTTTTTGGTCGGTTTCTAGACGAAGATGTTCAATATGTTGTAGTAGAAGATCCTTATATCAGAAGCTTTCACCAGGTTTGTTGAACAATGAGATTTGCATGACAGGAAGATTTATAAGTTCGATACTAAGTGGTAATTATCTTGTTTATGTCAGATGTAAAATAACTGACAACTAACAACTATTCATGCAGAATGCAGATGTTAACATACAGGCTAGGAATGATTGGATGAAGTATTGAAGAGTTAGATATGTAGGGAATCACAGTATATCCAATTTTTAACCAATAATTTGGATCAAATATTTGCCTCTTATGACAAGAAAAACATTAGCTGTCACAAAACAAAGCACCAGTAGCAGATTGAAAGAAATGATACCTAGGCCAATTAAACTTATTAATGGGCTTGATGATGTAGTGGCTGTGTAAGAAAAGACACTACACTATATCATCTCATGGTCATTGTAAGAGGATTGTGTTTTAGGTTTTGTTGTAAACACATTTTAGAAATTCGTTTTCATTTTTATCTTATGAATAAAACAAAAATAAAATGTAACAGATCAAGTGCTCAAGCCAGTTCCGACCATTGCTTGTTAAATTCTCTTTCAAAATTCTACCTACTTTAGTACTAATTTACTCCACAATTGCAGAGAGTATGGTAACATTTCAAATCCACCCACCATACTGCACCAAGAAAGCCTTAAAAATTCCAAGACTTTTTAACTCTAAACTAAAATAAAATCAAATTAAATAAGAGTGTGGTTTGCAAGATAATATTGTGACCAGGATTAAGAAAGGAATGCTTGGGTGGTTTAGTCATGTGGAAAGAATGAATGAGGAAAGAGTGACAAAGCAAATTTATGTTGCAGAAGTGAACGGCTGAGTTGGAAAGGGATGTCCTAGGCGAAAGTTTGTCAATCAAGTTGGCAATATATTGAAAATTGGCTAAATTAAGAGTATCCTTTACTCACAAGCATGTATGCGTAGGTATATGGATGTAGAGGAGGTGTCAGGATCGTGCCAATTGGAAGTCTAGTCTCTGCCTACCCCTCTGGGTGACAGGCATGAGTGTTTATGTTATGTAAAATAAAATTTATTTATTATAGTTTGGGTATTTGCATATTTACAGGGACAAAACTTTCTAAGACTCTGTGAACTGCTAGTGAGGTCCTGTGGTAATCTGAGGCACATACAGCTAGTGACTTCAAAAGGTAACAAATCAGAAGGTGATCAGAGGGAATGGTTTACTAATTTAAGAAATGATTTAATTAAATATAAAGTGCAGTTAATAGTAAAATATTCAGAAACTCTGCATGATAGGCAAATTATGTAAGTATTTGCAATTTTTTAAACATGTAAATTTTAATTCACTTAATTTCATGTTAAGAATTATTACATTTATAGTACAGACAATTCTTGTGTACTTTCTTATTTCACCCATTGTTAATTATGATTGTGCTGTGCTGATGCATATTTTTCTCTTATAAATGAAGCCCTCAACATGTTCGACTATCTCTTCATTACTACTTATTTAATTTTATTCTTTACAAGTTTTGTCATGTTTCTGCATTCACCTCTTATTTAAAATGGCATCCTATTTTAACAAGAAAGATATGTCATGCCTGGTGGTAAGTGGATGCTGTGGCCCATAGACATCTAAATTTATCCACAATAAAGTATCAAAATGCAGATGTGTTGTCACCCCAGAGGTCTAAGATGGAATGCCTCGTTGTTTCCAGTAAATAGCGTCTCCAGTTCTCTACATTCACTGTATAAAACACCGTTACACTGGTATTCTGTTCAAGTATGGTCCATCCCTCGTCAAATAGACCCATTCATGCTATATCCATGAAATATCGCAGAAAAATATTCAATAATAAATAATAGACCATTTCAGATTACAGAGGGTGCAAGATGAGACAGGGGCCGGAATACCTGGGGTCTACTCTAGCTATATTTATTTTTTAATAATTGAAATTATCATAATTAGTTAAAGGCAATCATTAAAATTGGCATAGGAATCATGTAATATGTAAATTAAATTTTTTTTTCTTAGAGTTGGCTAAAAAAGCGGCTAGATAAGTAAATAGCTCTAGACAAAATAGCAAAATGCAGGTTTAGGAATAATTTTAAATAACAGTGACTATTTCAGTCCGGAATGTCAAATTGAAAAAATCTGGATATATATAGTTTAGTTTAGTTTACGACGGGCTGTTTTCCGCAACTCCACGTCTAAGCGCGTATTTTGCGTGTGGGCAGAATAATATGCTTATTCGATCCATGATATCTCCCTGAAGAAGCTCAGCAGTCCCTTGATGTTGCAAGCAACCGGGGAGCGATCGGTGTCCGGTGTCTTGGTCTTTAAAGTTTCTTTTCTTGTTGTTTCGGGTGTTTATTTCAGGTAGGGTCTCCTGCTTGTCTACAGTCTATAAATTTTTCCAAGCTGAGTGTGTAAATTTTGAAGTATCTACGTACCAGTGAACGAACGTAGCCAAAGGGGATTGGTATTATTGGTTCCGGCCCTATAGTTGCTAGGGCCGATCCCCTTCTGGCCAGTTCATCTGCTGCATCGTTGCCTCTCGATCCACTGTGTCCCTTGATCCATTGCAGAGTCACATTGTTGTGCTTACATACCTCATTCAATCGTTGATGGCACTTGTATATCAGTCCCGAGTTCGTCACATTGCAACTCAGAGCTTGTAGTACCGCCATACTGTCGGTCAGTATTCTGATG